AAGGTCAGGAAGGCTAAAGATGAGGTAATCTCCATCTCCACAATAAGGCATTTTTACAGTACAAGCAGCTGAGTCTTTGATATTTTAATATAGCAGGAATGCAGACTAACACGACATTATCACCCATGCATGTAGTGTAGACATCACATACTTGCACTTAACTTTAGAAGGGTTGCTGCTTAGATAACCTCTAAAAGGCTACATACTTAAAGCAAAGTCATGCTTTTGGTCCTGAATGTTTGGTAAGAGCAGTTTAGTTCAGCTGATAAAACAAACACTCTCATCCTCAGAAAGCATCTTTAATGTTCTTCAGCTGTCGAACAGCCAGATCCACAGGGAGGTTGAACCTGAGGTGGCTGATGCGACCCAGGATGCGCAGGGCTCCTTCGAAGCCGGTCTGCGCCATGTAACTCCAGGAGTGATAGTGCGGGTGTATCAGAGTGCCCGACTTGCACAGCAGGTTGAGCCACGATACGAGCCGCTGCTCGTTCAGAGCCATGCACACCAGAGCTTTGAACTCCGAGTCCGGTCCTCGCTTGTAACGTCCATGCTCCTTCAGCACAGTGTGAATGGCCCACAGCAGAGACTGCTTAGGCGTGACGGTTACCGGGCCGCTCCCAACGTGCAGGCCGAAGGACTGAGAGAGCTGGCGGGCCGGTGACTCTACGAAGGCCTTCCCGTTTTTGGAGTGGTAGTACTTCACAAAGAGTTCCCATGGGTGCATGGTTTGTGCGACTGGTCTGTGAGGCAGAAGGCAGGAGATGGGTGCCAGCACTACGCTCATGGTCTGAGAGGGTGAAAAGAGGCCGTGAGCCAACAAGTCTTTCAGAGCAAAGGCCAGCTCCTTCCTCACAGACGTCGTCAGCTCGTCTCGGGCCCCCAGTGTGGAGCTGCTGGTGTAATTGACCACGTGTTCCACAGATGGGTGCCTATGCGATCCCAGAACTCGCACCTTCTCCACAGCTGCCTCCAGACGCTGCAGCAGGGGTCCGTAGTCCTGCCCGCACGGATCCTGAGGCCACATGCTCTGGGGGACGTGTCCGGTCGCGCAGCCAAATTGGCTGGCAGCGAAGATTTGCAGCACGGCCAGGGCCTTCTGGATCAGCTGCAGGCCGGTCTCTCGCATCTTCTGGGCCTGCTCTGGGTCCACTGCAGCAGGAAGAACCACAAGAAAAACACATCTTAGGAACGCACACATTTTAAAGACTTTATTTTACAAACGCTACAAAGCAAAAAAACTGTACCCTGTGTTATCAAAGCTACAGTTAAGAAATCTCTGTATACAACAAACAGAGTGTCCGACCTTTCTTCTTTGCTCCTGGAGATCTGGTATTGGTCCCTGCTGCGCGTGGCTGCTGGCTGCGTCCATCTGACAAAAGAGGGTTCCCCACCTCATCTTGTGGAAGAAAATGTCAAAGTTATCATGTGAATGAAATTAAAAATGAATCGCATTGCTAGTAAAACCACGGCTCAGAAGGCTGTGTACCCTGGATGAAGTTGATGAACATCTCCAGATCCCTGATTTGCGTTTTGAGCTGCTCCACCAGCTGCTCTTTGACTCTGGCTGGGTTCACTATCTGAGCGATGGCAGCGTCCACTCTCTGCCTCAGCTCCTCAGGTGACAAGTTCCCGATGTCCTCGTTCAGGTTTACATCCAACTTTTTGATCAACTCGTCAATGATGACCTGGAAAGCACAAGACAGGCTGAAGGTTAAACGCCTTTTGCGTATTGTCACTGCCTCCAAGAGGGAGAAGGAGCTTTTGAATGTTAAGGGCATTCTTAAATTTAAACTTGATGGCTGTGTAAATATGTTGCTGTTGAAAGTTGCTTATTTGCACACCCAACAGATAAATGGTCTGTATTTGTATAGCGCTTTACTAGTCCCTAAGGACCCCAAAGCGCTTTACACATTCAGTCATCCACACATTCACACACTGGTGATGGCAGCTACATTGTAGCCACAGCCACCCTGGGGCGCACTGACAGAGGCGAGGCGCCACCGGGCGCCACCGGGCCCTCTGACCACCACCAGTAGGCAACAGGTGAAGTGTCTTGCACAATGACTGAGACTGTCCAAGCCAGGGCTCGAACCGGCAACCTTCCAATTACAAGGCGACCTCCCAACTCTTGAGCCACGATCGCTCCAAATTTGGCCGATGACATCATGGAGATCACTTCGACTTTCTCATGTTTGCATGGCTTCATTCAGTGGCATCACTAACACACAGTTCAAAAGTCTAATGAATAATGGATTGGCACAGCTGAGAAACTCTTTTGCTCTTAGAGCTTATAGTCGCGAATGAATCTGTAATTAAAAAAAAAACCCTTGTGAACATAACGTGATCTCGAGCAGGTTATCTAACAGTGATCTCCCCTAGATAAAAGAGCCATCTTCCTGACAGCGAAATCTTTCGCTTTAGTCTCAAGTTCCTCACCCTTCCAGATCAAACCAACTTTGATTTCCTGTTATACAACCTTCAGATATGCTAACAAAGAAATGGCACAAAAATAACTCAAATATAAATATAACTACCATTACAGCTTCGTGATTACAGGGTAACCTCTGTACTTTTTAAAAGACATAAGTATTAATAGGTATGAGAGAGAAACAGCTATATCCTTACAAAACCCGGGGCACGCTGAGGTCAGATATTTGACTTGTTGCACCTGAGCTGAAACACGCAAACATCCCATTATATTGCTCAGCATAATGTAATGTTTATGAAAGTACCCGAGGACACTTCAGATGGTGGAAGTTTGAAGTTTTTATTTGTACTTTGGTGGTTGTAAAGATTAAAAGAGAAACGGGGATTGAAGGCTGTCAGGAAAACCTGTAAACAGCCTTTAAGTGCTGTGATGTTTGCATTGACACAAACCCACCTTCTGTCTCTCCATGACGACGGACTGCGGCAGCGAGTCGTAGCTTCCCTCCTGGTAGGCGAAGCGCTCAAGATCATCCAGCTGCGTCTTCAGCTGAAAAATGAGATCCTTCTGTTTTTCCCTCTGCGCTTCCAGACGTTCCCTCTTCTCCCTCTCACTCTGACAGGAGAAAAACACAAACAGTCACTCTAGATTTTACAGACAGGAGGAGCTGACAGTGTGAGCATCACAACACTGAAACAGCATGTAACAAACAGACACCAGTGGGGACGCTTTGCCAGCATCAATAAACGGAAAGTTTGTTCCCAGCATTTTCCAGTTAAGATGAAAAAACACAAAAAAACAGAATATTTGGGCCACTTCAAGGTCTGACAAACACTGAACAGGACTTTTACACAAACCAAACTCTCAACGAGACATCGGGTATCGCTTCATACTCACCAGATCACCCTGCAAGCAAAGCATGCAACAGGGGAGACAAAGAAAAAGGGCTTTTAGGTCAAACACATGAGGAAAATCTATAGTCACACATACAGCAGCTAATGAGGACACAAGGCTGTGGCCGAAGAGGGGTTAAAAAGAAGAAGAAAAGGAACAAAGCAGGTGGCTTCAATATCCCTGTGCAAACACAAGCCTTTATTAAACAGATTGAGATCTGCTCGAGGCATTTTTATTGAGCCTGCGCCGCTGTGACTCACACGCCTGTGACAAAAGACAAAAGGAGACATTTTTTTCCATGAGAGATAAGAGTTCTGCAGGAACACACAGGTGGGCGCAGCAGCCAATCCTGTGACGCAATAAA